CTTTCTCTGTTTCATGGGATGGGGATGAGGAGAGTCACCCAGCTGCCCAGTGGCAGGACAGGACCCAGGGGTCTGGCTGCTACCGGACAGCCTTTGAACCGGTCTTCCTGCTTTCGGCCCACTGTGAGAAGCCCTTGAGTCACTTCCGAGCCCTTCTGGAATTCCGTGCTGCAAGCTGGTACCGGTTCACTCCTGGTGCCCGCCACGCTCACCAGCCTTCGGTCAGCAAGGAGTGTCTGCTTTGCTGTTCTAGCGGCTCCTTTTCTGTCTTTGTGTTCATGTGTGTTAAAAGCAAAATCACTTTCCTTTTTTTGCGGGGTTTCAAAGGGAAGCAGGGGTGTGGCCAGTCTGCCCTGTAAGAGTGGAGGTTCTGTGATGAGGAATAACTGGGCGGCCAGGACAGGGCTGTGATGAGGGGTCCTCTGGGAGGAGGGGGGGGCTGTGTGACCATCCGTCCTCACCCCCACCCCCAGGGTTTCTCTTTTTAATTTTTCTCCTTTTTGAATCGAGGGATAGTTGGTTTGCAGTGTTGTGTTAATTTCTGTTGTACAGAAAAGTGATTCAGTTATACACATGTATGCATTCTTTTCAGAATTGGTTCCCGTTGTGGTTTATTTATGGGACACTGACTAGAGCTCCCTGCATTATGCAGTAGGACTGTGTTGTTCATCCGTGGACCGTGGTGTTCATCCATGGGCCGTGGTGTTTATCCGTGGACTGTGGTGTTTATCCGTGGACCATGTTGTTTATCCGTGGACCGTGTTGGACCATGGTGTTCATCCGTGGACCGTGGTGTTCATCCGTGGACTGTGGTGTTCATCTGTGGGCCATGGTGTTTATCCATGGACCGTGATGGACCATGGTATTCATCCGTGGACCGTGTTGGACCATGGTGTTTATCCGTGGACCATGGTGTTCATCTGTGGACTGTGGTGTTTATCCATGGACTGTGTTGGACCATGGTGTTTATCCGTGGACCATGGTGTTCATCCATGGACCGTGGTGTTCACCCGTGGACCGTGGTGTTTATCCGTGGACCGTGTTGGACCATGGTGTTCATCTGTGGACCGTGGTGTTCATCTGTGGACCGTGGTGTTCATCCGTGGACCGTGGTGTTCATCCGTGGACCGTGGTGGTCATCCATTCTCCCTGTAACAGTTTGTCTCTGCTAACCCCAGACTCCCACTGCTTCCCTCTCCCCACCAACCCCAGCCCCTTGGTGACCCAGGATTTTTCTCCAGCAATCTACTGAAGTGTCACAGGTGGTGGCCAGAGATTGTAACAACCCCACGGGGTTGTAGTTCCAGCACTTTCTAGAGGCTGAAATTAATTTGATAAGTTATAAAAATAACTGCTGGGCTGAAATTAATTTGACCCATGTTGGCGTGTGGGCAAGCGCAGTGTGCTTTATTTATGTGGATTGACAGGCTTCTTTAAACATGCCATCTGCAGGTGTCTTCTGGAGGCCTGCATCTCTTTCAGTTAGGACCTGAATGTTGTTTCTGTTTGTTTTTCTGACTTGGACTTAAGCTGTGGGCTCGTAGGAAGCGTTGTTAGACGGCCTAGGGTGGAAACTTGATGTTTTCTTGCCTTTCTCCAGCTCCCACCCTGGCAGGAAACGCTGTTTTAACTGCCCAGACCATCAATTAGCCAAACGTGTCACCGCCTCCATGCTTTTGCATGGAAGCCGCTTCCTCTGTTCTCTTCACTTCCACCCTGTAGCAGTTGATTAAAAGTAGCAGTAGGCAGCATCCGTTCAAATAAAGCAAAGAACGCCCCACGCCCTGTGGCTTGGGGGTGGGGGCGCGGCAGGGCGATCTGGTTGGGGGGACTTCTGGGAAGAGGATCCCCAGAGCCAACTGCTTCTGCGTCACGTTTTTCTGCAAGATGGAAGTAACGACATTTGTTCCCAGGAAAGTCAGCCGAGCTCCCTGTCATCCCCATGTTGCAGGGGACGCCCCATGCTACCGGGGCCCTAAGTGGAGCAGAGATTGCTGACAGCCTGAAGCTCGGGGCCCTCCCCCAGTGGCCACCTCTTGTTTCTGAAGTCTTCTCCCAGCGTTGGGTCGGCCTCTTGAGTGTGTGAGTCCTTCACTTGTCAGGTTTTCCCCAAAGCACATCATGTTTTTGGTCAGTGTTATAAATGGTATTTTCCTTAAGGTTCAATTTCCAGTTGTTCCTGCCACTCTGTAGAAACACAGTGGGTGTTTTTTTTTTTTAAATATTTATTCGTTTATTTTGGGTGCACCAGGTCTTAGCTGTGGCATGTCGAATCTAGTTCCCTGACTAGGGATTGAACCCCTGTTCCCTGCATTGAAGGTGCAGAGTTTTAGCTACTGGACCACCAGGGAAGTCCCCACAATGGATTGTTTTCTCTTCATCTTGTATCCTCTAAACTTGCTTAAGTCACTTACTAGTTCTAGTAGATTTTTTTTTTTTTTGAGGATTCTGATGAATTTTCTGCATGGACAATGATGTCTGCAAATAAAGACAGTTTTATTTCTTCCCTTTGCATCAGGACGTGTTTTATTTATTTTTCTTTTTATTGAGCAGAAGCTGTGAAGTTGGACATCTCTACTTTGTCCCTGATCTGTTGAGGGCTTTTTTCAGTCTTTCAGCATGAAGTGTGATGTTCGCTATGGGCTTTGCTGAGACGCCTTTTGTCAGGTTCTTCCTAGCCCTGGTTTGCTGAGAGTTCTTGTCCTGAATCAAGGTTGGGTTTTGTCGAATGCTTTTTCTGCAGCTGTTGAATTGATCTTACGGTTTTTATTTTTAGTTTGTTAATATGGTGAACTTCATTGATTGATTTTTCAAATGTTAAATCAACCTTGCATTCCTGAAATAAGCCACCCTTGGTTATGAAGTATTATATATTGTTGGATTTTATTTCCCACAGTTTTGCTTAGAATTTTTGCATCTGCATTTGTGAAGGATATCAATCTGCTTTCTTTTTAGTATCAGGGTAGTAATATTGACCTCATAGAATAATTTGGGAAGCATTCTTCTTGTCAGTTTTCTGGAAAAAAAAATGTAACTTCTCTAGTTTTCTTTTGATTAGCTTTAATCTGGTATGTTTTCTCCTGGCCTCTTACTTTTCATTGGCTTTCGTCTTTATTTTTAATGTGCATTTATTATCAACAGCTTAGAGTTGAGTCATATTTAATGTGAAAATGATAATAGTTTGATTTAAATCTGTCATCTTTCTATTCGTGTTCTTCTTGTCCCATCTGTTTTTATTCTCCTCTTTCTGCCTTCATTTAGATAAGTAGAATTTCATCATTCTATATTATTTCCTTTGTTGATGTATTAGCTATAACTCTTTGTTTTATTATTTTAGTGGTTGCTTAGGGTTTCTCACACACATCTTTACCTTCTTACAGTCTCTTCAGGGATATCGTACCAGCTTGTGTACAGTGTAAGTACCTTATGATGATGTGCTGCCTTTTCCCCTTTTCAGCTCTTCTGCTTTTGTTGTCATATATTTTTCCTACATATTTAAAAACTCCTAAATGTGTATGTATTTTTATAGATAAATACATATTTGTAAATATATATACATACGTATATATATATATAAATAGGTTTAAATAAGATAAACTCGTATATCTACCCATGTGATTGCCATTTCCCGTTGTCTCCATTCTTTTGTGTAATTTCATTTTTTTTCTGGTATCATTTCTTTCTGCCTAAAATTTCTCCTTTAGTGTCTTTTGCAAGGAAGACTTGAATTCTTTCAGCTTTTACATGTCTGAAAAGTCTTCATTTTGTCTTCATTTTTGAAAGACATTTTCCCTAGTCAAGTAATTCTCATTTGATTTTTTTTGGGAAAATGCTTTAAAAACATGGCCCTACCATCCACTCACTTGCATTGGTTTCAACCAGGAATCCACTGTCAATCTTAAGTTTGTTTTCTGAATATAATGTGTGTTTGTTTATTTTTCCTTTCTCTGTTTTTATGATTTTTCTCATTATCTTTGGTTTTGATTTGTTATGATGTGCCTTGGTGTAGCCTTCTTTACGGTTCTTATGCTTGGGTTTCACTGAGCTTCTTGAGCCTGTGGGTTTATAGTTTTCATCAAACTAGTATTATTTTTGGCCAAAATTGCAAATAATTTCATGTTTTCTTTGTCATCAGGAACTCTGGTTCTATATGTATCAAGCCGACTGAAGTTTCATAGATTTCTGATAACCTGTTCTCTTTTAGTAATTTATTTTCTTGCTTTTCTACCATATTTTCAATTTCATCATCTTTTTATCTGTTGTCCGTTTTGCTATGAATCTTGTCCAGTGCATTTTTCATTTTAGATATTGTCATTTTCATCTTTGAACACTTGATTTAGGTTTATCTTTCATGTCTCTGCTTGCCTTTTTGAACATGCAGAGATCAGTTAATATAATTTTTAATGCTTTTTCTGCTAATTATAACATCTGTAGCAGTTTTGGTTAGTTTTGACTGGTTGGTTGTATTCCTCACTGTGGTTCGTACTTTCCTGTCCTTTGCATACCTGATCATTTTTTATTGTTTCGTTAATATAGTAGTATTTCTACTGCTAAGCTTTGTAAGCTGTGGGTTTTTCTTGTTGAGTCTGTATATTTTTGACTTTGGGTAAATGTTCTTGACCTTTGTCCTGTTGATGTTCCTTGTTAACATTCAGTTACAGGCAGTTTGATCCGTCCAGGCCCTGCTTCCTGTGTTTGCTCGCTGGGTGACAGCAGCACTCACTCGGGGCCTGGGTGTCCCCACTGCTGAGGCCAGCCCTCTGCGTGTCCTGTGTCCCATGAGTCACGAGGTTTCCCAGTCTGTCCAGCGGGAGCAGGCAGTGTTCCTGGGCCTGTGCGATCCATGTGCATTGTGACCTGCCGTTCCCCTGGAAGCCTGGTCACTTCGTGTGGGCCGATCTCATCCTTCAGAAGGCTCCAAGGACCCCCTGCAGGTCCCTCGTGGCCTCTGTGTTCCAGTCCGTCCTCTCCTGTTCTCGGCCCCCCGGGGCGGTTCTCACCTTGGCCCCCCTGTGTTCTCAGCCTGTTGCTTCCACTCAGAGGACTTGCCCAGAACCACTTGGTCCCTTCTTGGACCGTGGCCCAGACACTGTGAATGCGGAAGCTGAGAGCAGCCCCAGGACTCACCTGGTCTGTTTCCTGGCTCTTTTGCATCATGGTCCTGCATGTTTGAAAACCATATATCATGTATTTTGAGCATATTTTGGTGGTTCCAGGCAGGAGGGTAAACCCAGCACCTGCGGCTCTATCTGCCTGGAAGTGGAGGGCTCTCTCTCACTGTTTTGCCTCTTCTGCCCCGTGTTGTGTTTGCCTCCGCCTCCCTCCATCTGGCCTGGATTCTGTCCCTCCCCACCTGCTTGCCTTCCCCCTTGCTCTGTTATCCCATTCCCTCTCACTGCTCCAGCATCTGCACGACCACCGTCGGCAGCCTGGGCTTCCTGGTCACCCCGCCTCTCAGGTTCAAGGGCAAGAGGTTTTACATTTTCTGGAGAGAACCGTCTTGCCCTCGTTGTGTTGATTGCAGGTCCCCCTACAGTCCCGGACCCCATGACTGTTTATTTATTATTCTTCAAACTTGTCCTCCATTGGACTAGGTGCTAAAGAAGCAGCAATACAAATAGCAGGCTCCGTCCTGGCTGTCCGGATGGTGACAAAAAATAAAAAATATACAGATTTAACAAAAACCAGGGTGTTAATTTCAGCCAGGCAAGCATGTGCTGTGTTTGTGTGTGTTTTGTAGCTTGAGAAAGGGCAGTCAGGGAAGGCGTTTCTGAGTGGCTGGGAGTAGGAGCAGGGAAGGGTGAGTTCCAGGCAGAGGGAACAGGAAATGTAAAGGTGGATGCGTTCACTGCATCCTTGCCCAGGGGCTCCAGCGTTGAGACCCAATCTGTGCAACTCCCCAAAGCCTGTCTCCCTTCTGCTTCTTTCCTCTCTCGTCACTTTACTAGCCAGTGGCTTCCAAGGGCCTTTTGTTTTTTGGCTGCAAGGCATGCGGAACTTCTTTGACCAGGGATTGAACCCATGTCCCCTGTATTAGAAGCACAGAGTCTTAACCACTGGATCACCAGGGAAGTCCAAGCGACTTTATATAAATGCCAGTGTGATTATCTATTACTATGATTGTTTCGTTATTCTGAAGAGGTTACGGGGTGTGAGATTTTGGGTGTGCGGTTTGCCCAAAGAGGAATCAGTTGAGAAGAGTTTTGAATGGTGCTCCTCTCTTGAGTATAAATCTTTGGCGTATTAGTTTTCTGTGGCTATTGGAGTAAATGGCCGCGAGGTGGTGGCTTAAAGCAACAATATTCTCTGCCAATTCTGAAGGTCACAGTCCAAAATCAAGGAGTCATCAACTCAGGTACCAGGAGAGGATCCTTCCTCACCTCTTTCAGCTCCTGGCGGTGGCTGGCAACCTTGACTTGACCTTGACCCATGGACACATCCCTCTGCCTCCGTCATCACCTGGCTGGCTCCCTGTTTCTCCTGCCTGTGGTCTGCATCTTCCCATGGCGTTCTTGTAAGGACCTCAGTAATGGATTTAGGACCCGTTCTCTTCCCAGGGGCCTCCCCAGTGTCTCAGATGGTAAAGAATCTGCCTGCAGTGCGGGACACCTGGGTTCGCTCCCTGGGTGAGGAAGATCCCCTGGAGAAGGAAATGGCTGCCCACTCCGGCCTTCTTGCCTGGAGAACCCCATGGACAGCGGAGCCTGGCGGGCTCCAGTCCACGGGGTTGCAGAGTCGGACACAACTGAGCTGCTGGCACGTACACGTTCACTTTCCCCTTGGCTGTGGGCGTGAAGTGGCCTTTCTCGGGGGTGTTGGCCTGGCTGATCAGGGGAGAGGATTCCGCAGTAGTCCCTCGTTGTGTGGCAGCGAGCCGTCCTGGGGGATGACTCACTCCCAAGCCGCAGGAAGTGGTGCAGACGCCGAAACCAGCACAGCCGTCAGCCTGCTTGGCGGCATTTGGGACATTCATCCTTACTCCGCTCAGAAAGCTCAGATCACAGCAGGCCCAGCCGCCCAGCTAGAAGGAGAACCAGGTCTCGAATTCTGGAATTGATTTCTTCCCCACCTCCCCGACCTTTTTTTTTTTTTTTAAAACTGTGTCCTCCATAAGTGTTGGGAATGATTCTCCTTTTATTGGTAGTGAAGTTGACAAAAGTCCAAATGCTTAAAAAATTAATGAAGTAGGTTTATAAAACACCGTCAGGAAGTCACCATCACCCTTCCCACGTGGGAGAGACTGTGTGATGTTGGGTGGAGGACGGCATGCTCGCTTCTCAGCCCAGGAGGCTGTGGGACTGTGAAGCGCAGCCCTTACAAGTGTCTCTGGAGAGTCCCGGATCCGTGTGTGCGTGCATTTTCCATCACGTTCTCCCTCTGCGCCGGCTCTGGGAGGCGTGTGGAGGGGCCACTGTGCCCGATGCCCACCTCTTCCTGCCTGCCATGCGGGGTCAGACCCTGACCTGCAGAGCTGTGCGTTGCCCTAGCATGAACTGGGCAGTCTTCTGGAAGGCAGGCTGGCTTCGTTCTCTTGTTGGGGAGCCCACGGAGAAATACACACACGCTGATAACACAGCTCATTCACTTGTAAGAACGCTTTCCGAGGAAGCTATTCGAAATATGGGAGAGGATACTTAAAAGACAGTTTCTTTTATGTTTTCTTAATATGTATATTTTATTGAAGTATAGTTGACTTCCAGTGTTTAAGGTGCGCAGCAAGGTGATTCAGTAACACATATACACATGTATTATTTTTCCGATCATTATCCATTATAGGTTATTACATGATATTGACTATAGTTACCTGTGCTCTCTAGTAAACCTTTGTTGCTTGTTGCATATCTATTTGCTTAAAATTACAAGTCTAGCATTCTATTCGTACTAAGTCAAACAAGTGGAATGAAAATGTCATAAATTTTTTACTTAGGCGAAAATTTATGTTTTCTAAAATATACATATTATGCATCCTATAATATGTATATGTATATATAGTGTGTATGTATATGTATACATGTAGTATGTATGTATGCATACTATAATATATATATATACACAAAAAAACTTTTCTACTACACTTGATAAGCCTTGAGAAAGAAATAAAAAAAAAGAGAGATGGAGAAATGGGAAAACATAAACTAAATGAAATGGGAGCACTGAACATGAAATAGAAAAAGTGAAACAAACTAGATAAAAGTAAAGGATCCTCACATAATCCAGTTGTTTTTAAACATGGCTGCTCATTAGAAACATATCTGGAGCTTTGGGGGGATAAAGCAATATCTTGGCATTTGTATTTTTCAAAAAATTCCAGGATAATTCTGATCTGCATCTGGATTTTTAAAAGGCGGTTTCTTTTAAATAAAGTTCCCAGAGAAGCGTGCTCGTGGCCCCCGTCTGCGTTCTTGGTGTCCGAGCCTCTCCTGGGCATCCTTCCTTCCTCCGAGCGAGGTCAGGCAGGAAGCTGGCGGGTGGGGATGGCGGCTGCCAAGGTGCTTTGTGAGCTTCCTTTGCTCCGGGGGCTGGTGAGTGCTGGGCTGGAAGTCCTGAGTGCGCTGGCCCCTTCTGCTGACACAGTCACCACGTCCCAGATGGCATCAAGCAGGTGATGCTTGGGTCCTGTTGGAGACTTGAGCACCCATGGGGGTCCTCTCCTGACTCCTGTTCCTGCATCCCTGAAACAGGCCTCCCAGCCTAGAGCTCCGGCATGGCCCGGGGTGTGCAGGAGCTCGGGAGCCGAGATGGGCCTTCCCAGATGGTGTGAACTGAGATTTGTGTTCATCTGTTGAAGCCCTCACCCCCGGTGTGGCCGTGTTTGGAGATGGGCCTCCCTGGATGTCATTAAGGTAAACGAGGTCACGAGGGTGGAGCCCTGATCCTGTAGGATTAGTGTCCTCCCCTGGGCTGGGAAGAGCCCCTGGAGAAGGAAATGGCAACCCACTCCAGTATTCTTGCCTGGAGAATCCCTTGGACAGGGGAGCCTGGCGGGCTACAGTCCATGGGGTTGCAAGAGTCGGACATGACTTAGCAACTGAACCAGCACCACCAAGAAGAGACCCAGAGCACCCCCTCTCTGCATAAAGGGACACGGGAGGAGACACCGTCTGCAGCTAAGAGGAGGGTCCTCACCAGGGAGTGAGCACACGAGTGCTGAACCCCGGGACGTGTGCTGGGCGCCTGTTTTCCTGCAGCCCCTGTGACTTTATACACAGGGCCAGTCCACAGTCCCGAAGAAACAGCTGCTCCTGCCTTGTTCCTGGGGGTCTCCGAGCTTTTACACCTTGACTCTGCTGAGAGCTTGGTGTGAGAAGTGGCCCACACGCCACCTCCCAGCAGGCCTGTCTTATTATTCGGGGACTGGAGCAGGACTCCAGATGGAGTTCGACAAGCCTCGTCCTTCCTATTTAAAAATCATAAATCAAGCTGGCAAGCTGTTAGATAAAATATGTTTTCTCTTTCTGCTTTTCACAGATTAACCTTCATACTGACATAAGTTTAAACGTGTGGGCATTTTATATGACTGATAGCTGGCAATATACCACTGTGACTGGAGTTAATTATTATTTATACACTTGGGTACTATGTTGATGCCCGATGATATTCAGATAAGTTATAAACATCTTTTGTTAATTACTATATATTCCATAAAATGTATTTGTCTTCCCTTCTGTTTAGCAAAATTACTATGCATGTTGTTACAATCCAGGTTTTTTTTTACATAATTTATGTTCCATTGAGAGTGATCATCTGAATAATTAAGAATTGAATATGTTCACAGTGTACAGAACCTGGATGGATTTTCATAAAAATGTAAATTAACATAAATTTAAGCATGAGCTTTTTTTCAAAGGGTTGTAGACACAAGAGCTTCTAAAATTTCTAATCACCCACTCTGAGGCAAAATACATATTAAAGTTAATGACCATGGCAATTTCAAATCACAGTACTTTAACTGGACGTATTTAAATTCAGATTTCTGAAAATTTAATGTCGTCGAATCTTTTTATGAACCTACAATGGATCTCAGTTCTGCCACTCAGATGTCGTGTCTTCTAGTTGCAGCATGTGAGATCTAGTTCCCTGCATGCGTGTGCAAGCTCAGTGGTGTTTGACCCTGTGACCCCATGGACTGTAGCCGCCCAGGCTTCTCTGACCATGGGATTTCCCAGGCAAGAATACTGGAGTGGGTTGCCATTCCCTTCTCCAGGGGAATCCTCCCCACCCAGGGATCGAACCCAGTCTCTTGTGTCTCCTGCACTGGCAGGTGGATGCTTACCACTGCTGCCACCCGAGGAGCCTGTGTCGTGTCTAGACTTAAGTAGATACACATTTCGGACGCACATGGATTCTTCAATATTGTCACGTGTGCCCTGCAGGCCCCCCGCACTGTTGTGACTGTCGCGTCTCTGTAGGGCGGGGATGGGAAAGGAAGAAAGAGCCGTGCCCAGCAGCACTGTGGGTGCTGCCTCCCCGTGTTCCCACCGCCTCCCCGCCGTCTGCAGAGGCGTGGCTTGTGGGCCTGTCTCGTACCCAAGCACTTCCCCTGCTCACGTTCTCTGCAAGCTCAGACATCCTGTCCGTCAGTCCGTCCGTCTGTGCAGCACTGGAGCGTGTGGAAGAGCCGTCCTCCCATAGAGGTCAGCAGAGGACGAAGAGAAGGTGGTTTCCTGCCGGGGTCACCGAGATGCTCCCTGAACACGGCTTCCCGCCAGGGGTCACCGAGATGCCCCGTGACCTGGCCTGGGACCTGAGGACTAGGAAGGGTGGATTGTTGGGTCAGCCAGAGGACAGCATTGCAGGGAGGCTGCTCACGACGAGGGGTCTCTGCTCCCGGGAAGAAGCTGGATGACATCCTAAGAAATGCATTAGATTCTCAACCCTGGTCGGGCATGTGTACCTCCGGGGGGCACCTGAATATGAGTGACTCCGGCATCCCAGGACAGCCTCCTGTTCCTGCATCTCAGTGAGGCTGGGAACTCCTGGGACAGGCTGAGTGTAGGGGTTCCAAGAAGGAGCTCTGTCGGCTGGGTGATCTGTCTGTGGGGTTACCCCAGGCTATGCTGAGGTGAGTCGGACCCAACTTCTGGGCCTGGTGTTTGGACCTCATTCTTCTGGCTGTAGGGGGCATGGAAGGCCCTTGAGCTGTTGGACAGATGTGTCCACTTAGGGGAGCATCCCCAGAGAGCGTGCAGGACCAACTCACACTGGGAGTGTGGTTTGGTGACTTTAAACCCCTGGAGGGGAAGGTGTTTCTTTAAGATCCTTTCCTGGGAAAACAGAAGAAGAAATTGGAAACCATGGTTGCAGGTTCCCTCAGCCTGGGATGATAGGAATTAAACAAAACCCATCCTCAGCTTAAACACTGTCATTACGGGGGATCGCAGGACCGGGCTGGCTGCAGCCCCACCCAGGGTGCAGCCATGGCCGTCCCCCAGCAAGTGACCACAAAGCTTCCTGCAGGGTCAGGGGCTTGGCGCCTGGACCGAGTATCCTGCGCCCCGCCCCCAGGGCAGCGCCTGATACCTGGTGCAGAAAGCTGTTGGGAGCCTCCATGCTGGGTCTGAAAAACTGGACGCCTCTCTGTTACGGACTCAGCTGGGTTTTCAGGTCTCAGGGACACTTGGTCTCCCCAGGACGGCTCAGCTCAGCAGCCTTGTTTGATGTGCCCAGTTCCCAGACTCGCTGCCTTGACTTTGCTGCCGGTAACCCATTGTTTGGCTTTCCTGGTGGCTCAGATGGTAGAGAATCTGCCTGCAATGCCTGATACACAAGAGACTCAGGACAGTGGCAGCCCACTCCAGTATTCTTGCCTGGAGAATCCCACGGACAGAGGAGTCCATGGGGTCGCAAAGAATCGGACACGACAGGGTGACCCACACACAACCCATAGTTTAGCAGAGACCTCGGGCAGCCCTCCAAAAGCCAGAGCTTGCTGTTGAGCTGGAGCTGCCTTCCGCCAGCCGTCCGTCCAGGGAC